CTGATGCACCATCCTCATCTTCCAGGTCCAAGACAGCCGCTAGAGGGGCAGCCATTTTGCCCAAGTTCCTTCCCACTTTGGAACCTTTGCTCTTGTTCTTTCTTCCTAGAAACCTCACTTAGTTGCTCTTCAGTTCTCAGCTTTGGAACATGGTCACCTCTCCAGAGCCGACTTCCCTGACCACATGCCCCAGTACCTCTTATCAACCTGCAGTCTTTCCTTCATCTGACTTATCACCTGTCTGTACTGGTTCCACAACTCCCTAAAGTGTGACCTTGGGCAAATTCCTTTATCAACCTGTGCCTCATTTTCTTTACCTGTAAAATGGGGATATAACAGCACCCACAGGAAGGTTAACACTTCAAATTCATGAGAATGGTTACCTCTGGGGAGGGAGAAGGGAAGGAGATGGCAATATCCCCGTGTCTGTCTTTGTTCCAGAACATATGAAAATATTATGTTAGTAAACTGATCTTGAGTTGGTGCCACTATTTAGTAGTAGAATATTGCTCAACATTAATTATTAACATCCACCTTGACTCTCTGAGAATAAAAATCAGTTGGAAACTCTACTTTGAATTGGGCGGATTCTCAGTTCTCAGCTAAAGTTCTGGGGTTGATGTCAGACCCCCAAAGAGGAAAAGAAGTCTTCTTTCCAATCTGATCTTCGAAGACTCTGATTTGGAGAGGAGATAAGAACCTGGGTGGGGATGGTGAGGAGGAGAATGGGAATGAAAGTCAAGATGGATTTTACACAAGTGCAGCAAATCTCCAAAGCTCTCGACATCTTTGACCGCCAAGGATCTCATAGGACTTGCTCATTCTTGGGCAAGTTTGTCAAGGTTTCCACATCTACTCAGATCTTATCAACTGCCAATCATTTAGGAGAATTAAGATGTGAAGACAGCCTGGATTTGACACCATCTAATAAATATTTAGTGAAGCTGCAGCCCATGCGGCAACATTCACAGTGCAGGGAGATGCCCGGCACCCATGGAATGTGGCCGGGTGATACCAGGACTAAGGCAAGAACATATACGTCAGTGCCAAATATGCCTTGTGCCATGACAAGTCCAAACAGATCCTTGTGGCATTCTGGGGAGGACAAGATCTTATCTGTAGGTGGAGAGAACCATGATCGGGTTGCTAAAGGGAGCTGCATTTCCAGGGAAGTTTTATTTCCTTGGGAACATTGCGTAAGCCCTCCTGAGAGCAGAGGTATTTCTTTAAAAATTGCCTTAGCTCTGGTACATCATTTTACCACTTATTTTATTGATATTGTGTTTTCCCCTTCAGATTGGAAAGAGTGGCAATGCCTATTTCCCTTCTGATTATAAATATATGGTTAGTTTTTTTTAAATCAAGTAGTAGGGAAAACTATAAAGTAACTAAAAATCATCTGTATTTTCACCTTCCAGATATAATTGTGGATAGCATTTTAGTGTATGTGCCTCTTGACTGTGACAGAAATTTCCTGTTGCTCTCAATAGCCATTATCCACTTTTTCCTTAGCAGTAAAACTCTACATTTTTAGTTGGGCATATGGCTGCTCAGAATAAAATCTATATTTGCCTGCCTCTTTGTAGGTAGGAGTGCCCACAGACTAAGTCCTGGCCAATGAGATGGAAGCAAAAGTCATCTATATGACCTCCTGGAAGTGTGATTAAGGGGAGAATATGAGTTCTTCTTACCCTCCCCCTTCCTTCATGCTTGCTGGAATGAGCCCTGATGGCTGGAACTTCAGCAGCCATTTTGACCAGTGTAGTGGAAGCCACGTAATGGTGATGTGGAGCAAAAGGATGAAAGGAGTCTGGTCATTCTACCTGCCCTTTTATCAAAAGAGAAATCAACTTTGAATTCCTTTGATTGTCTACATTCACCAAGTTTGGCAGTAAATCTAATGTCAACTTTTGGGGGGGTTCTTTCCCATCTATTGGAATCATACAAACAAAACAAAATAATAACAACCCAGATTCCCATAATACAAGAAAATTGGGAAAGGCCCTTTAGCTTTCTGCTCAGTGATTACTGCTGATTTGCTCAGAGACTGAGTCCAAAACCATGCCCCATCTGAGTTAGATGGCTCTACTCTTAGCAACCACTTCCTTTGCTCCAAGCCTGTCCATGCATTGACCCTTATCAAGAGACCTCCTGCGCCCCAGGGTGTGACAGAAGTGAAAGGTGTAGGTCTTGACTATTCAGAAACTCAACATCTTCTGTCCTTCCAGCCTTGCTGCAATGAATATCTGTTACCCTTTATGGCTGCTCAACATTCTTGGACTCCTTCCCCTACCAGTGTTTGGGAATATCCCATTTCATCAATTCATGCCTCTCTAAGATTGAGACTAGATAATCACTTTTGCAGAGGCTCTGCAGCTGGAGTACAGGCTCGTGACCTAGCCTCTGTCAATCAGAAGCATTAGTGCTGGTCTTCCACAAGAAGCCGGGAGCCAGAGCTGGAATCCACCCTCACCAGCATGGCAGCAGAAACTCTCAGCTTCAGAGGCAACAGTGGCCCCTGGTCTTGTGGTCAGGGGATAAATCACAATATCTGGAAGTAGCAGTGGTACCAATTCAACCAACGGAGATTGTGGAGTGATTTGGCCACTGTTTCTGGACTTAGCCTTCAGGTCTGGAGATTATCTATCTCATCCATTTAGAGATATCTATAGATATATACACACATCGACAGAGACAGAGGGAGGGTGGGAAAGGGACAGGGAGAGTGAGAGAGAGATTTATGATAAGGAATTGGCTCACACGATTATGGAGCTAGCAAATCCAAAATCTAGAGAGCCAACGTCCCAGTTTGAGTCTGAAGGCTGGGAGTTGCTGTAAAATCAGGAAGAGTGGACGTTCCAGTTCAACGAAGCCCGTCAGACTGGAAGAATACTTTCTTACTCAGTGAAGAGTCAGTCTTCTGTTCTATTCAGGCCTTCAACTGCTTGGATGAGACTTCCTCACGTTATGGAGGTCAATTTGCTTTACTCAGTCTATTGATTTAAATGTTAATCTCTGGGGCACCTGCGTGGTTCAGTCAGCTAAGTGGCTGCCTTCAGCTCAGGTCATGATTCCGGGGTCCTGGGATCGAGCCCCTCATTGGGCTCCTTGCTCGGCGGGGAGTCTGCTTCTCTCTCTCTCCCCCTGCTCATGCTTGCACACGCGCTCTCTCTCTCTCTCTGAAATAAATAAAATCTTAAAAAAAAAGACAAATGTTAATCTCTCTCTCTTTTTTTAAAAGATTTTATTTATTTATTTGAGAGAGAGTAAGAGAGAGTGAGTTCTCTCTCCAGTCTCAGGTAGGCCTTCAGATGACTGTAGCCCCTGCTGACATTGTGACCACAACTTCATGGGAGGCCCTGAGCCACAACCCTGTAGCTACAGCGCTTCTGAAATCCTCACCCGTACAAACTGCAAGGTTCCAGATGTTTGTTTTAAGCCACTGACTTTTGGGGGTTATTTGTTACTTAGAAATAAGTAGCTAATTCACCTGGTTTATAGTTCTTTTTTTTTAATTGAGATATAATTGACATATAACATTATATTAGTTTCATGTGTGTAACATAAGGATTTTATATTTGTATACATTGTGAAATGAGCAACACCTTAAGTCTAGTTAACATCCATCACTACACATAGTTATAAATTTTTTTTCCTTGAGAACATTTAAGGTTTATTTTCTTAGGAACTTTCAAATATACAAATATGATATTATTTACTATAGTAGCCATGCTTATATTATATCTCCATGACTTATTTATTTTATAACTTCGCGCATTTCATCCACCCCCTACCCCCCCCCCCACACACACACCTCTAGCAACCACCCATTTGTTCACTGTATCTATGAGTTTGGTTTTTTGGAGGGGAGAGTTTGGTTTGGTTTTGGTTTTTTTTGCAGATTTCACAAATAAGTGAGATCATACAATATTTGTCTTTCTCTGACATTTCACTTAGCATAATGCCCTCAAGGTCTATCCATGTTGTTGCAAATGGCGAGATTTCCTTCTTTTTTATGGCTGAATAATATTCCACTGTGTATATATACACCACATTTTCTTTATCCATTTATACATCAGTGGATACTTAGGTTGCTTCCGTGTCTTGGCTATTGTTAACAATGCTGCTATGAATATGAACAGACATCTCTTCAAGTTAGTACTTTTGCTTCCTTTGGATAAATACCCAGAAGTGGGATTGCTGGATCATATGGTAGCTCTCCTTTTAATTCTTTGAGAAACGTCCATACTGTTTTCCACAGTGGCTGCACCAATTTACATTCCCACCAACAGTGCACAAGGGTTCCCTTTTCTCCACATCCTCCCCAACACTCATTATTTCTTGTCTGGGTGGCTCAGTCAGTTAAGTGTCTGCCTTTGGCTCAGGTCATGATCCCAGGGTCCTGGGATCAAGCCCCACGTCGGGCTCCCTGCTCAGCGGGGAGCCTGCTTCTCCCTCTCCCTCTGCCTGCCACTCGCCCTGCTTGTGCTCTCTCTCTCTCTGTCAAATAAATAAATACTATCTTTAAAAAAAAATGGTATCTTCCTCATATGACAGAGGCCTCAGTTTCTTACTGGCTGTTGCCAGGAGGCCTCATTCCTCATTACATGGGCCTTTGCATAGGCTGCTAGAATGTCCTCAACACTTCTCCCAGAGCATGTGATTCAAGGAAGTACTAAGTGTAGCCACTAAGTTTTTTATGAACTCCAACACTGTCCCCACATTCTATTGTTTAGAAGCAAGTCACTAAGTACAGCCTGCACTCAAGTGGGGAATTCAGCTCTACCTCTTGAAGGAAGGAAATCAAAGATTTTGTGAACATACTTGAAAAGTAAACATACCAGGGGTTAACACCACAAAAGGCAAAAAGGGACACTGAGTAGTAAGTGCAGGGAGCAGGCATGAGTTGGGAGGACATCTGGAAGAGGCTGGAAACACCAAAACTAAGGAGTTGAGAGAAGGGGGCCAATGCAACAGAGAGGCACTAACCTGCTGGTGTCTCTGAACCCAGAGGAAGTTCTCGTGGGGCCGGGACTCCAACTGGGGTGGAGGAGGCAGCACCACTCAGCTGTTGCTGGTGCTCTGAACAGGTACAGTGAAGCTGGTGCTGTATTTAAAAAAGAATGATAAAAACCTGCAAACTAGAACCAGCTGGAAACTGGAATGAACAGTCATTTCCAGGAAGAAGAATTGCTGTTGGAGTGACACTCGCAGGAATGTTCAGCAAACAAGGAGCAGGTCCCTTCCCTTCTACCTTCTCCAGCCCCCCAGTCTCACCCACGTGCCCCCAACTGGAGGATCCTAATAGGGAGGCAGAGTCCACATACAGGTTTCCTGCTCTTCCAAAGTAGAGCATTTCTACTGTAAGTGGAAATGTCTTAACATGAAGGAGCAATTACTGTTAAATTTATATGGAAACTTTTTTTTTTTTTAAAGATTTTATTTATTTATTTGAGACAGAGAGAATGAGATAGAGAGAGCATGAGACGGAGGAGGGTCAGAGGGAGAAGCAGACTCCCCGCCGAGCAGGGAGCCCGATGCGGGACTCGATCCCGGGACTCCAGGATCATGACCTGAGCCGAAGGCAGTCGCTTAACCGACTGAGCCACCCAGGCGCCCTATATGGAAACTTTTTTGAGTGTTCCAGACCCCCCAAAAAATAACCCTTTAGGTTCTTCTGATACCTTATGACACATCATGGCAACGGATGCACAAAATAAACTGAGATAAAGTACAGATACTCACAGACACATTTCAAAGCTCTGGCAGCTGGATGCTGAGATGCTGAGTGGAGTCATGGGGAAGGAGCTTGGTGGCACCACTCTTGCTGCTGGGGCCGCGCTGGCTCTGTAACCGCTGGCTGCAAAACAAACGTTGAGAGCTATTTTTGCTTTTTGCCTTTTTTTTTTTTTTTTCAAAAGCAAACATCCTCTTCTGATTTCTTTCTGTTAGTGCAAACGGGTAACTGATGCAGGTCTTTCATAAAAGCGAGGTGGTGTAATGTAAACTTTCAAAAATTATGGGATACCTGTCTTCATTTATGAAATAATGATTTATACTCATTTAATAATAACTGACATTATCCAGTGCTCACCGTGTGCCAAGCGCTGTTTTAAATATGTAATCTAAAACTCTAAGAGGTCGGTGTTACTCTGTTGCCATTTTACAGGTGAGAAAATGGATACACAGGGAAGGTAATTCGCCGAAGTCACACCTAGTAAGAGGTGGAGCCAGGGATTTGAACCTAGAGAGCTACTTCCACAAGCTGTGAGCTCAAACACTCTGCTAACCTGCCCTGATACCAAATATCATCCTGCCAGGCTAGGTAGTATAAAATGGTGAGCAAAAAACATACCTCGTCTTGGTCCTCATGGAGCTGATGATTTAGTGGGAAAGACCACTTACCAACTCACAACAAATGAAAGTAAAATTAAAACTGTGTCTGGCGCTCCAAAGAATTGCACTGATCATGATAGACTTCTATTTAAAAAAAAAAAAAGAAAAAGATGGAATTTGACCTACGTAAGGGTTGGGAGTGGGAATGGGGCCAGACAAAGGAGGGGCTTATAGGCCCAGAAGGAGGAGGTTTGTCTTTATCCTAAAAAACAATGGAAGTAAAAAATAATAATAATAATAATTAAAACCAAAAATAAAAAAACAGTGGAAGTCACTCAAGACTTTTCACCGAGGCAGGGAGGATGGGAATGGTGAACAAGACTGGCCCCAGGGAAGCTGGTTATGAGGCTGCTCTCCAGGTGAGATATGGTGATGGGGGAGATGGGGAGAATTAGAGGGAGCTGTGAGATGGAGGTAATACTGAGACGATATGAAGAATGGGAGGTTGGGTGGGGGTAGTAAAGGAGGGGGAGAAATCAAGTACGCATGGTTCCTTGAATGGAATTGTCATCCACTGAATTGGGGAATGGGGGAAGGTCTGACTGGACCAACATCTAGGCAGTAGAATGAGACAGATCTTGGACACTGATAGGATATCAGGTTCTAAAGGAGATGGAGGACCGTATTTTCAAAGACATAACTTGATCTAGCTGCACTATCGAAAATATTTGCCACTAGCCACGGGGGGCTATTTAACTTAAATAAAACAAAAAATGGAAAAATCAATCCACACGTGGCTAGTGGTTACCCTACTGGACAGGACAGATACAAGACATTTTAATTGCTGCAGAAAGTTCCAATGGACAGCACTGCTCTAACAATTGGCATTATTTGATGTTTTATAGTAAACAAAGTCTGTTCGTGTCCATCTTTGCCTTTAATCCAGTGTGATGTTCTTGTCTTGGTTTTCTAAGAGTTCGAGGAAATGCTCTAAACACTGACATCTACCGTGTGTTGTGCTGAGCTCGAATGACAGTTTGACTCAAAATATGGACTGTACCGGGGCGCCTGGGTGGCTCAGTCGTTAAGCGTCTGCCTTCGGCTAGGGTCATGACCTCAGGGTCCTGGGATCGAGCCCCGCATCGGGCTCCCTGCTCGGCGGGAAGCCTGCTTCTCCCTCGCCCACTGCCCCTGCTTGTGTTCCCTCTCTCGCTGTGTCTCTGTCAATAAATAAAATCTTTGGGGAAAAAAAAAAAATTGCGTCTAAAATATGGACTGTACCTGGTGCCTGTTTGTAAAGTGTTTATTACCTGTTCAGGACAATAAAGTACAGAAATTGAGAATAAGATTTTAGAAAGTTTTCTAGCAAACTGGCATTGCTATAATATTTCACTGTATTTCACATAAGTACCAGTCTGCAGTGGATTAGAAATTTTATTTATTTTAAATTTATTTTAATTTATTTTTAAAAGATTTTTTAAGTAATCTCTACAACCAAGGTGGGGCTCAAAC